CAGCGGCAGCAGATGCGGCCAGGGCTGTGCTGGGGAGCCCCGAGTGCCCTGGCGGTGCTGCCGCCCTGTGCCAGCCCAGCCCTGGGGCGTCCCCAGGCGGGAAGGGCCCGGGCTCAGCCCTGCCAGGGCAGGAGGGTGTGTGGCCAGGCTGGCAGTGCCACTGGGGGAGCTGTGACACCGCTGGGGCCCTGACAGCATCTGTGTTCCCAGGGATCGCCGGGAGGTACCTGAGGGGACAGGAGTTGGAGCTGCAGATCGTCATTGATGGTGAGTGAGAGCAGCAGGGACTGGTGGAGGAGCACAGACCCTGGGCAGGGAGCTGCAATCCTGCCCTGGCTGCAGAGGGCTCTGCTCCCTGCATGGATGAGGAATGGCTTGGGCAGAGCAGAGAGAGATTTCAGGGCCATGAGGGCTGTTGGTGGCCAGCATCTTCTGGCTGATCCCCTTGGGCCCTGCTCCTCCTGGCCATGGCAAGAGCTGGGTGGGATGGCCCTGGCAGGAGGGGCTTCTTGGGTCACCAGAGATCTGGGCGCTGACCTTGCCTCATTCCCTTTTGTTCCAGTTATTGAAGGCATGACTCATGACAGCGCTGCCATCAAAAGCCTGGCAATTCAAACCCAGAAAATCCTAATGGCTGTCCAGAGACCTCAGGCTCCTCCACATTCCAGCAATTTGAAGATCATCTCCAGAGTATGCGGAATAGGGAGGCTCCTCTGTGGGGCAGCTGCCAGGGGTCTGCGGAGAACTGATCCTGGGAACCCTGTCTGATGGAAATACCTCATCCTGTGGGAAATACCCCTCTTATCCTTTTACCCCAACATGGCAATAATAAATCCCTCTTAGCATGCACAGAGGCTCAGGAGATTTTTTTTGGTGCCTGGTATCCACAGTGCATTGGGGTAGAGGGGACAAAGGGCCCTTGTGCTCAGCAAGACTTGCCCAGGTATGCAGTGGGGAGGGGAAAGTGCCCCAAAGGCCCTTGGCCTTGGGGGGTTCTGCTGGAGCCTCAAGGCTTGCAGCAGAGCGGATGGGCAGAGCCTGGAGCTGTGGGGGTCCCTGAGAAGCTGGTGCTTGGAGGTGGCCACACGGCCTGTCCCAGCCAGGCAGCAGCACGTGTGGCCTGCCCGTGTGCTGCTGTGTGGATTGCTGAGGGCTGGGAGGTGTGTGGGGAGCCGGCTCCTGGGGAGCTCCTTCAGGGCTGCGCCGCTGCTGGGCAGGTTGGCGGGGCTGGGGGAGACCCTGAGGGGATGGGGCGCTGGGAGGCCATGAAGGGCTGAGGTGCTGAACCTCCTCAGCCAGGCACCCACCAGGATGCCAAAAGCGGGGATGCTGTGGGCACAATTGCACGGGCTTTGGAAAAGGCTTCAGGAAAAGTGGCCACAAGGGCTTTCTATTGACTGCCCAGCCTCACAGCAGCGCTTGGCAGCTTCAGCCTGTCATCCTGACTGACTTGTGTGGGAGACAACGTGGAATACGTGCAGTGGAAACATCAATCCTAGAGGAGAGACAACTGCAGCCCGGGAGAACTCCTGGAGTCAGCTCAGCGAAACCTCATGTTGCGAAATCATTGTTCCGCGTTACCTTATATTATGTAACCTCTCTCCCGCTGTTATCCCATACTGCCTTTACTGGAATGCAGTTCCTGTTCTGCCCTCAAAACGGGATCCCGCCCCTATCCTAACCCCGTTGGCTGTTTCCCCGCCTTTCCCCGGTTCGTGGGTTCTTACTGGGTATTACCTCTCCGTCTCTCTCATTGCCTGACCAAGTCGCCAAGCCCCTCCCTTCCTCCCAGAATCCTCATAAACTGCGGGAAACTTGAATACAGTCTCTTTGCCTGCCTGCCTACCTGCCTGCCTGCGTGCTGTGTGTTCATTGCTGCGTCCTACACCTGGGCTCACAGCGCTGCCATTCCATCAAGGTGGGGTGGATAACAGAGAGCATTTCCCTCTCAATCCTGTCAGACTTGCATGGCCGTGCCTGAGGGCAGACTCACCTGCCACATTCAGATGTACCACAGCGGTGGGACTACTGACATCCTTAGAGACTGGGATGGGACATCAGCCTTGGGGTGCAGCTGCTGAACCTCTCCTCCATGCAGGCACCTCAAAAACACATGCATGGGCTTCTGAACTCTAAATCCAGACCTTTCTGGAATGGAAGGAAGAAGCAGCAGAAGCTGAAGCAGGGCCTCATATGGTGAACTTCAGGGATGGAGGGACATCGGTCCTGTGGCATCTGCTGCAAAGATGGCCCAGTTTACCAGCAAAGAGGAAAAAGAAGGCCAAACCAGCAACCGTCCTGGCTGTTTTGGGTGTGCTTGAAAGAAAAGGAAGAAGCAGCACACACTGCCTGAGACACAGACATGTGCCCATCTCACTGTAGGGAGCACTGCCAGGCAATGCCTGGATACTGTGGCCATGTCTGGTCCCCACAGTTCCAGAATCACAGCTCCTGCATCGTTCTGGTTGTCCCCAAGATATAATTGAAAGCAATAAGAAACATGAACCACTCCCCCCAACTACCCTGAAATGGAAAGAATTTCTTACATGGAAGAGACAGTGGTATGTTTGGATGTCCAGTTTCCTTGGATTTTCAGGCAGTTTCCCTTGCAGCTACTGCCCTCTTGAGGAAACCTCTCATCTGTTCCATTTTTACTGGTTTTTTTCCCTGAAAATGAAATGATTTCCTGGCAGAGAGAAGGAGCTTGGACAGAGTTTGTGGTTTTGCCCAGGCCCAACATGACCAGCAGTGCAAGGGACTGCCTTCCCACATGGAACCATTGGGAAGGAGGATGGCATCGGGATGTGGGGTTGCAGCCCCAGGGCATCCCACCTCCAGATGAATCCTTCCCAAATCCACGTGTTCCATGGTGGCACTCCAGGATGCTCCGGCCCAACCCTGCTGGCACTGGGGGAAGGTCTCCCACCAGCAACACCACCAGCTGCCATCGCCCACTTTGCTCCCCTGCTCGCCTCCCGCAAACAAGAGAGAATCTGGAATGGGAGCAAGAGGTGAGGACAGTGCTCCTCTCGGATGTCCGAATGCCAACGCGACGCTGGCACAGAGCTGAGAGCAACCAGGAGCCTTCGGGATCGATGTTGCCGGTGGGGATGGAGAGGGATGCGAGGGGGTTTGCTGGGAAAAGCGATGCCTGAGCTGGCAGTGCAGTGGTGCCATCGCCTGGAGCCCTCCTCCAAGATGCTCTCCCCTGGGCAAATCCCAAAGCAAACACAAACACCCCTTAGTGTTATTTTTCCATAGCCAAGCCCTCTCCCGGATCACAGATTTACACCACTCTTGCTTTACACCAAAGCATCGAGAGGCTGAGCACTCCCATTTCTTCCTTGTTCCAACCCACAGGTGTGGGGAGCACCTCTGGATGACCCTGGCACTCTTGGAACAGGCTTGCATGGGGCATCCCAACTTTAGAGCGAGGTGGTGCAGCTCTTGAGCACAGCTTGGGGAAACTGTCCATATGAGGAATAAATGGTTTGGGGAATGGTGTTTGGGGCAGTGCTGGGCATGGGAGGTGGTGAGAAGTGCTGGGGTCAGGCTTTGTGACCTAGAGTGAGGATGATTGTGGAAACCAAATTCATCCTGTCAGCAAGCCAAGGTTTGCTGAAAACGAGCCCCCTCCTTAGGGTTAATTTTACCCGAAAACTGTGAGTTTGCATCTGTGGCCCCAGTACTTGAGAAGATCCTCTGACAATCTCTCCGTTTTCCATCCATTCCTTTTTCTCAAACCGAGCCACAAACATGTCCAACCCCCTCCAGCCAGAAATAGGGCTCATGAGTCTGATTTTGGGGACAGGTGGGCAGGACTGGGGATGGGAACCGGAGCCACAGAAGGGCCACGGCAGAGGGGTGGTTCCACCTCTAAAACAGCACATGTGCTGTTAAATGCCATTTGAGCACATTCTGGGCTATTTCATAGGATACAAACAGAGATATGGGTGATTTGTAGCATACTTATTAAATCCTATATTGTGTCTATATTGCATGCTCTATTGTAGATATACTGCAGCTGTGTCAGGGGAAGGTCAGGCTGGATCTCAGGGAAAGGGTCTTCCCCCACAGGGTGGTTGGCACTGAACAGGCTCCCCAGGGCAGTGGGCACAGCCCCAAGGCATCAGAGGGAGTCCCCTCGGCTGCCGACGCAGCCACAGCAGGAAGGGCACGGGGCCTTCACAGAAGTTGGCACGGGCTCCTTGGGAGAAGTTGCTTAGTTTTTGAGCTGTGTCTAAAGTTCATGTCCAGCTGTCTTAGATTCTTTGGGGAAGGGAGTCATTCCGAAGCCAGGGCAGGTTGGTTGGGCTGGGGGAGGCCCCAGAGCAGGTGGCAGGGTGTCACAGGGCCCTTTGTGACACGGTGGGCATCGCCGAGGGGATGGAACAGGGCCCTTTGTGACACGGGGTGATATAAATACTGGTGTTGATGTGGCAACGCCTCAGTGCTCCTCGGAGCGTGCGACGGGACAGACGGGACAGAGCGGTGCTGTGCGGAGCCCCCGCACAGACAACTCTTTCCTTGTTGACCGGAGCGTTTTTGGAGGTTTTTCTGTGGTGCGATTGTCCTCGAGGCCAGACCGCGGGACTTGGTGACACGGAGCTTTTGCGAGATTTCTCCAATCCCAGCGGCAGCTGCCCTTGAGGCTGCGCTGCAGGACTTGATAATCCATACTTTTTCCTAGGTTTTTCTCTCTTTCAGTTGCCCTCGAGGCCCCGGTGCAGGACTTGATAACACATCCTTTTTCCTAGGCTTTTTTCTCTTTCAGTTACCCTCGAGGCCACGCTGCAGGACTTGACAACCCCTATCATTTTCTAGGCTTTTATTTCTTTCAGTTGCCCTCGAGGCCAGATCGCAGGGTTGGTGACCCAGAAATTTTCTGGGTGTCCAATCCCTGTGGCACGTGGCCTCGAGGGCAGCCTGCAGGACGTGGTGACCCGGAGATCTTCCGAGGTGTCTCTCTCTTGCAGGTGCCCTCAAGGCCAGACTGTGGGATGGCGGGAAGACGCCTGCTCAGATCCTTTCGGATGCAGGAGGAAGGCCCTGGAGCTTCCTCATCAGAACACCCTGAGGAGATGGAACAGTCCCAGCCCCTGCAGGAGGGTGAGTGGCAAAGCTGGGCCACAGGGCTGGTGGCTGCAGCCAGATGGGTATCATCCCATCCCATCCCATCCCATCCCCTGTGGACATAGCTAGGAAGTAGGAGGGGAAAAGAGGCCCTGTGGCTGATTCCCTGGCAGCTCCATGCACTGGGCATCCCGGGGCCGGCCCTGCCTGTGGAGTGCAGGGCTGGGCTGTGTTCTCCGGGCTGTCCCGCAGCCCCTCAGCTCTGACTGTGATCCCTCTTTGCCAGCTCCAGGCCAGCACCAGACACAACAGCAGGACCGTGCCCGTGGCCACTCCCGCAGGGCAGCACAGGTACCTGTAGCCATCGCCTCCTGGGCTGGGCCTGCTGTCCCTGCTCAGCCTGGCACTGCTGACGGAGCTCTCCATGGCACATCCTCCTCTTCCCTGCTCTCCTTTCTGCAGGCCTTTCTGAAATTCATGGGCATTCAGCGTAGAAAGACCAGGACCTCACCAGCTGAGGCCACGGCACAGGCTGACACCAGGCTGACCAAGATGAAGCCTGATGTTGGCACTGCGCCAACTCATCTCACAAGCAAGTCTGACCCTGCGTTGAATAATCACACAAGAAACTCTGACACCACGCGGATTGACCAAAGAATGAAGTCTGACACTCTTTGGAGTGACAACACAACAAGCACTTACACCGCATCGATTGATCGCATGGCAATCTCTGACATCGTGTTGACCGATGAACCGGCAAACTCTGACACCGCACTGCCTCGTCTCCCTGCCAAGGCTGACATTACAACAACAACTACCAGCACTGACTCCACGCCCAGTGACAGTCTGATTGATTCTCCCAATTGGGATTTTTTTGGGGAGAATGGTGTCTCCAGTGCAAAGGAAGTAAGCAGCCTGTGGCCAGGGCTCAAGCCACCCTAGGCTGGTGTGGCCCCTCAAGCCAGCTCCCCTGGGCCCTCTCAGCCTTTGAGACCAGCACAGTGTGGTGGGAAGGGGAGCATTTCTGGGGGCAGCCAGGCAATTTGCTTCTTCTGGCAGTTCTCCCACTCTCCCCCATTCCCCTTCTGGGACTTGGTGACCCAGAGCTTTTCAGGTGCCCTTGAGGCCAGACCCAGAGCTTTCCTTAGGCCTCTCTCTTGCAGGTGCCCTCCTCAAGGCCAGACTGTGTGATGGCAGAAAGACGCCTGAGCCTGGGCAGGCTGTTCAGGGGGAAGAAGGAGGGCTCTGGGGCTGCTCCAGCACAGCACCCTAAGAAAGTGGAGCAGTTGCAGCCCCTGCAGGATGGTGAGTGGCAGAGCTGAGCCACAGGACTGGTGGCTGCAGCCAGATGGGCCTCATGTCATCCAATCCCCTGCAAACATGCCAGGAAATTGGAGGGGAGAAGAGAGGCCGGGGTTGATTCTCCAGTGGCCATGCTCAGTCCTCTGGGCATCCCGGGGCTGGCCCTGCCTGTGGAGCGCAGGGCTGGGCTGTGTTCTCCGGCCTCTCCCACAGCCCCTCAGCTCTGACTGTGATCACTCTTTGCCAGATCCAGGCCAGGACCAAACACAAGAGCAGGACCGTGGCCATGACTGGTGGCGCTTTATAGACCAGGTACCATCAGCCATCCCCACCTGCTCAGTGGACACCACCATTGGAGCACTCGATGGGACATCCCACTCTTCCCTGCCTTACTTTCCCCCACAGATGTTTAGGAACTTCAGAGGCACTCGACATAGACATGCCCACACCACGCTGACTGGGGGCACGGTGAAGGCTCGTGCCCCAGTCAGGCCAACCGAGCGCATGGCAAACACTGACACCACGCCCATGCAGAGCCTGGCTGATGCTCCTGGTCTGGACTTTTCTGGGGAGAGAGTTATCTCTGCAAAAGTAAGCAGCCTGAGGCAAGGGATCATGTGGACCCTCAAGATGGGTCTGCTGGGTCCCCTCAGCCTTTGAGAACAGCACAGTGTGGTGGGAAGGGAAGCACTTCTCAGGAGAAGCCGGGCAAGTTGCTCGCTCTTGCAGCTCTCCAACTCTTCCCCATGTCCCCTCCAGGTGCAGACCTTTGTGAAGAACATGCATCAGAGACTGACAGCCAAGATGTTCCCAGAGAACAGACTCTTCATGGACTTTCTGAGGCTGACTGATACATACCCCACTGATGTTGCATTGACCCTCTTGCACTGTGCCCCATCATGTGACAGGTATGAGGCCCACCTGCCTTCAGGGGTTGGGGCTTGGCAGCCTTTAGAGCCTGTCCCATGTGCTCTACCAGACAGATGGAGATATCCAAGACACTCTGGCCCTTGTGTTTCCTAGTCCTGGTGTGTCATCCCCCGATCCTGCTGTCATGCTCCCTCCTGGCCCCTCAAGGCATCGTGGCTCTGTCTCCTGGGCTCCTGCAGCTGCCCAGGACACGGCACAGTGGCTCAGACTCCCCTGACACAGAGCTCTGTCCTTGCAGGGCTGCTGCAGTCATGTGGAGGACCATAGCCTTGTCTGGAACAACAGTGATGAGGGTGCTGCCAACACTGCTCTGTGTGATGGAGGGCTGGCCACTGCAGAGCACATCCACCTCCGATGGGAACAACAAGGACATCTTTGCCCTGGCTGTGAGTTTCTGAGGCCTTTGATTAACTCCAGGCTGCCTCTCTGATAGGTCTCTATCCTCCCCCACCAAGCTATCTCTCTGCCTCGGGCACTAGGCTGGAAACCTGGACTAGGGGCAGGTTCAGGGGCACCAGGACAGAGGCTCCCCCTGAGTCCCCCTGGTCTTTCCCTCCCATGCTCTGGTCCTGCCACATGGATATGTGGGCACTGAGAGCTGGTCTGAGTGGTTTATCTTTTGCAGGCAACCATCGTGGTTTGGGAAATTCTCCAGATGATCCGGTACCCAGAGCCATTGATGGAATATTCCCCCCGTCTCCTCGTGGCTCTGCTCTTCCAAGTTTCCACCAGCAAAGAGCAGATGCCAGAGGTTGACACCTTCTGGGGGAGATGCTGGGAGGAACATCGGCTTACCAGGAACCCCAGCAGGTGCTCCATCCCAGTCCTCCTGTGCCTTCCATGCCCTTGGGGCTGGGTCAGGGCTCCCAGCATGACCTGGGCTTCTCTCTCCACACAGATTCGCAGTGCTGACCATGAAGACCCTGCTCTGCCATCTGCAGTTTGAAAATATTGTGATGGCAATGGAACGCAAGCGTGGCTGGGACACGCTCCTCAGGCCTGAAACCCACCACTATGCAGTGGGTCTGCTGGCCAGGTGAGACCCCCTTGTCCCCACTGCCCCTGTCATTTCTGCCTGTGCACGGGGCACCCCCACAGTGCCTGGGCCAGAGGGCCTTGTCAGCGAGGGATGGCTGAGCAGAGTAGAAAAGGCTGGGAGAGGCGGGGGCACAGGAGGAACTGCCGCCCAAAGTGCACGTGTCCCCTCCAGGGGAAAGACCAGGCCTGTGTGAGTGAGCCCCGGCAGAGGTTTGCCCACCCAGCTCAGGGTTGACGGTGCCTGTTTCCCCCTGCCAGGGAGATGCGCCGGGTTTCGGTCCCATTATGTTCCTGGGTTGCCCTCTGCCTGCTGGGGCTGCTCAGGAGGGACAAGCCCCGCTGGGAGCTTCCCACCATGGCCTTCCTTGTGGAGGTGAGCCTGCTGGCGAGCGCTGCCTGGCCCAGCTGCCTCCACCTCTCAGCCCTCTGGCAGCCGCAGCTGCCCGGGACGGTGCCGCGCCCTGTGCTGCTGCCTGGGCACAGCCCTGTGCGGGTCCGGGCTCCTGCCGGCCGGGCACCCCGTCACTGCTGCGTGCCTTTCAGGTCCTCGACTGCCTGGACTTGAGAGAATGTGGTGACAGAGTCCTGGAGATTGCTTCAAGGCACCTGGGGAGCGAGCGCCCAGAGATGCGTCGCCTGGCACTCAGAGCCCTTGTGGTGCTGAGCAAGGATCCTGTGATGGTGAGCAGGGGGCAGGGGCTGAAGCCGTGCGGGCAGCGTGGGGCTGGGGAATGCAGTCACTTGGGCTGGGCTGGGCTTTGGGAGCTGTGGCAGCTGCTCCCAGCTCTGCTGCCTCCCTGTTCAGCTGCCCCGGTCCCTCGGGACAGGCCTTTGGTCTCCAGGTCCCACGGCAGCACCTGGGGCTGCCCCACCCGAGCGGGGTTGGCTCTGCAGCCGTTCCAGGCTTCACAGCACAGCCTTGTGTTCCTCCCAGGCTGACGGCATGCGGACCCTGACACAAATCCTCATGGATGTACTATTGGATGCAGACAGAGAGCTGGTCGGGATGGCCCTCTCTGTATTCATCAACGAAGTTCAGGACAGAGACATCCTAATCTCCACCCCCACTGCCCTGCAGCTGGCTGTGGCACTCCAGACACTCTTTAGCAATGTAAGGCTCTGCGCCCCCCACCACAGGCACTGGGTGCTGTCGGGAAACTGTGGCCTGTGCATTTGCAGGCCTGTGCCCCAGTGAGCCCGGAGCAGCCAGTGCTGAGGTCTTTTCTTCTTCCTTTGCATCAGGACAACATCCGTGTGCAACTGCTCTCCATTCACCTCTTCCGAAAGGTGATGGAGTTGGTAGTGGAGGAGGGAAAACAATCCTTGAAGACACATGTCATCCAGAGCCTGCTCCCACTTTTTTTCCAATGGCATAATGAGAACCAGCACGTGGCAGAGGTGAGAACTTGTGGGCCCTGGTGTTCCCGTGGGAAGGGGCTGGGCTGCCTCCTGCCCTGGCACCTCCTGGGCTCCAGCCTCCTCCTGGCCTTGGTCCAGGGACACGGGTCCTGTGCCCTGGGCTGCAGTGCCATGTCCTGCTCCCTGTTGTTCTGCAGGCCTCTCGGGCAGCACTTCTTCGTGCAGCCTGGTTGCTGAAGAGGAAGGATCTAGAGCAGCTGGTCAAGAAGAAGGAGCTGAGGAGGTTCATCGAGTGCCTGGTAAGGACCCCCAGGATGGACCAGTCCCACTGGCACTGGCACCAGTCCCACCAGTCCCTGCCCACTGCTGCAGCCCCTGTGGGACAGCAGCCTGCGCCCCAGCCACTGCTGCCTTCCCTGGGGCGTGCGGGCTCCTCTGCAGCTCCTGTGCCCCCGAGCCAGGGTGCCGCTGGAGCCCCAGCCCAGCTGGGCTGTGGGGCAGGGCGGCCAGTGCTGGGCGCAGGCAGCGCCCGGCCAAGGGGCAGAGCCCCAGCCAACCATTCCCTCTGTGCCTGCCGCTCTCTGCAGCTGGAAAAGGACAAGAGCCGAGTGGCCGAGTACGTGCACCAGGCCCTTCCATACCTGGAGAGCCCACAGCAGCCCCTGCAAGAGGCAGCCATCAAGTTCATGGGTGAGCCACAAGGTCCAGGGCTGTGCTGAGGAGCCCCGAGTGCCCTGGCGGTGCTGCCGCCCTGTGCCAGCCCAGCCCTGGGGTGTCCCCAGGCGGGAAGGGCCCGGGCTCAGCCCTGCCAGGGCAGGAGGGCGTGTGGCCAGGCTGGCAGTGCCACTGGGGGGGAGCTGTGACACCGCTGGGGCCCTGACAGCATCTGTGTTCCCAGGGATCGCCGGGAGGTACCTGAAGGGGCAGAAGAAAGAGTTGCAGCTCGTCATGAATGGTGAATGAGGGCAGTGGGATATCTGGGGGCTGGTGGAGGAGCACAGACCCTGGGCAGGGAGCTGCAATCCTGCCCCAAGGGTGTGGAGGGCTCTGCTCCCTGCATGGATGAGGAATGGCTTGGGCAGAGCAGAGAGAGATTTCAGGGCCATGAGGGGTATTGGTGACCAGCACCTTCTGGCTGATCCCCTTGGGCCCTGCTCCTCCTGGCCAAAGCAAGAGCTGGGTGGGATGGCCCTGGCAGGAGGGGCTTCTTGGGTCCCCGCAGATGCAGGCTCTGACCTCGGCTCCGTTCTTTTCTGTTCCAGCCCTTCAAGGCATGACTCATGACAGCGCTGCTGTCAAACGCCTGGCACTCAAAAACCTCAAAATGATACGCTCTGCAAAGAGACCTCCTTCTTCTCCGCATTCCAGCAGTTTGAAGACCAGCTCCAGAATGAAGGGAATGGGGAGGCTCCTCTGTGGGGCAGCTGCCAGAGGTCGGCAGAGAACTGATCCTGGGAACCCTGTCTGATGGAAAAACCTCATCCTGTGGGAAATACCCCTCTCATCCTGTTCCCCCTGCATGGTAATAATAAATCCCTCTTAGCATGCACAGAGGCTCAGGAGATTTTTTTTGGTGCCTGGTATCCAGAGTGCATTGGGGTAGAGGGGACAAAGGGCCCTTGTGCTCAGCAAGACTTGCCCAGGTGTGCAGTGGGGAGGGGAAAGTGCCCCAAAGGCCTTGAGGGGAATGCGTGAGGGCCTGCAAGGCCGTCCTCTATATCCAGTGCTGACTCCAGTCTTTGAAAATGTGGTTGCATCTGCGAGGATCCCTGAGAAACTCATCCTTGGAGATGGCCACAAACACTCTACCAGCCGTCTGTGTCCTGCTGGTGCATTGGAAGATCAGCAGAGGGCAGGGCAGTCCCTCCAAAGGATGACTGAGGACGATTCCCAGGAGCTAGGTATCCCACCACAGTGCCATAGATGGCAGATGATGATGAAGAGGAGGCCAGGGTGCCCAGTCAACCTCCTCCCCAGGGAGGGTGCAGCCAACCAGCAGGGGCCCTGCCAGAAATAAACAGGATGCCAGTGGAATTGCTCTCGGAGATGCCAGAGTTCCTGCTCTTGGCATCCATCGGGAGACAGGGAGCAAGCTCTCTACCAGATCAGTATGAGGTCCGTGCAGGAAGCAGCTCCTTAGATAAAGTGCCTGTTACACAGGAGCAAGGTCCACCTGGAGACAGAGGCATCAATAAACACACCCTCTCAGAGCCAGGCCAGGCACTTAGGACTGAGCTGGAGGGAGCACAAGGCCCAGGACTAAAGGATGGGTGGGTGGAGGTCCAGAAAGGCCCCTGAGTGCCCTCAGGGCCCTGACACTTGGGGCATCCCAAGGTTTGAGCATGAGTGGAGCAACCAGGGCCTCAAGGGTACAGCTCATTTTGAGGCTGCTCCTTCAAATGGGGCTCAGAGAGTTGCAATAGTGGTGATGCCCATCCCCACACGTAGTTGTGGCCAACTCACTGTAACCTGTTTCTGTGCAGAGAGGAGTTTGTGGGTGGTTTTTGGGGGGACAATCTGCTGGTTCAGGGAAGGAGGAAGAGCCAAGTACCGTATTTTTGTAGGGAGGTTCCATCAGAGACCAGAGTAGCTCCAACACTTGGTATCTTTGTGAAATCTAAGGGGCACCTGGGTCACTGAGCTTTGGAAAGGGTCACTGGGTGACCAGGGCTGACTTGCTCATTTGCTCTCTCCTAGGTGCTTGGCTTCCAGGGGTCCTTGGCACTTGGAATGTGCTTGCACAGAGGGGTCTCATCCCCCGGAGATGCTCTTTCCCCTTCCCAGCAGATGGGCAGGAGAACAAAACCCCAACTTTGCTACCACGAATTGTAGCCAGAGAAATGCAGCGGATGAGTGTCCAGCTGTGCTGCTGGGGCCATGTGCCAAAAAGCCAATTTCAGGGGCTGGGGGCCAGGCAGGGGCACGGGGGCTGCACCTTCTCCAGGGGCCCTGGGGAGCAGGGGGTGGAAGGCAGAGAAGTCGTGAACCCGCAGCACAATCCAGATCAGCAGCCTTCTTTCTGCAGCCAGCGGCCATGCTAGTGAAGAGCAGGAAGTTTGGAGAAGCAATCTGAGATTAAACAATAAATAAATCATGGGAGGCAGTGATCCCAGCGGGTGCCTGGGCTGCCCCAGACCCGTGGAGCCTCTGCACGTGGGGAGCGGAGAGGTGCCCTCTCCCCACCAGGCACCTCAAGGGGAGCACGCAGAACTACAAACCCACACCTGTGTCTTCTACCTGCTGCATCTGGAGAGAGCTCTGACACCAAAGGCTCTCTCTGGGACAGGCAATCCAGGCGTGGGAGGGGAGCAGAGAGGGCCCCTTCGTGTCCCCACCTCCAGCAGACAGCAAGGGCAGAAGTGGAAGAGGACAGAAAGCCTTCAGGGGCCAAGTTTGCACCTTGTTTCGCTGCTGGGGGCTGAGGGGAGGTGGGAATTTGGCAGCTCTCCCTCTCTGGAGAGGGTCCAACTGCCCCAGGAGAAATTCCTCGCATAGTTTTGCTGTGAAGAAAGTGCTGACCTGCTCCCTGTTTCGGGGGTGTTTGCTGAGCAAGTGAAGATGAGCCAAAGGCAGCTTGTAAACGCTGGGAGAAAATGGCCCGGTTTCCTCGTCACGGGGGTCAGGGAGCAGGTCAGGCTCTTTGGGGGAAGCAGTGCCTGGTGACAGTGACTTTGTGAGCCATAAGCAAGTCCACGAGGATGTCCTGATGTTCCACTGGCTCACACATCTCCGGAGGGGTGATCCAGCTGCAGCAGAGAAGCTGATGGTGCCACCCCACGTTGTAGGTGAGCAGCAGAGGGTGACCTGGAAGCTGTGTCCAGACTGCCTGGCCAGAAGCAGGCAGCAGGGGGAGGGAGCACCTGCTCTGGGACTGAGGTGGGAAACAGGTCGTGTTCACTTCTGAAAACGCCAGCAGGAAAACAAACAGCGCAACTGCAGTAAATGTGGAAGGCGAATGTGACCTCCTGCAGCGCCAGGAGAAGCAGCCAGTGCGTGACTAAAACAGCAGTGATTTAGATTAGATGTAAGGAAGCATTTTTTTGTGATGAGGTGGTAGAACACTGCCACAGGCGAGGCGGTGGATGCTCCATCCCTGGAAACGTTCAAGGTCGGGATGGATGGAGCTCTGAGCAGCCAGGTCAGGTGGAAGGTGTCTCCCCCCATGGCAGGGGGTTGGGACGAGATGGTGTTTAAAGGTCCCTTCCAACCCAAACCATTCTGGGATTCTGTGATTCTCTGCCAGGGCAATAGAGCAAGGGCAAACCTGCGTGTGCTCCCACAGCAGTGGGAATTTATTCCTGTTAGGAATATTAGGGGAGGCTGTAATATGGGGACATTTCAACTATTCTACTTGCAGTCTGAATTGAAGTGTCAGGGGATAAGACATAAGCATAAAACTTCTGAATGCAGTACATGGTGCCATTCCCCCAGAAACAGTCTGAGAACCACCAGATCATTTTTCTGAATCTGCTTTAAAAATGAGGAAGTGGTCAAAAAAGCAAAAAAACAGCCCAATCCCATGAAAAAAAAATTAAAAGCTGTATTTAAAACAAAGAGCCAATAGGGCAATCCCATAAAACCCCCACACAGCTGGTGGGAAAGAAGGGGTAGCACAGAGAAAAAGCTGGATGCTGGAGAGCAGAAGGTCTCCCAAACGAACAGGAAGTCGGAAAAAAAAATACATCATGATGAATATAAATTGGGAAGCGGGAGGACTAGGAGCAAGCTGGAGGCTTGTCCTGCCAAACATGCTCAAACCAGAGGATTGAGCTCAGCCAGCCCACTGCAGGGACTGGGAAGTGGGAAGGGTGCACAGGGATGGGATGGGCACAGTGACAGGTCCTTGCCCTGGGGGCATTCCCACCCCCACCCATCCCCACTCCCTTTTTCCCCCCAGACAGGTGGGAAAGGCTCTTAAATTGGAATAGAAATCCTGGTGGGATTATCCTGGAGAGACAAGCTAAATGTTTTGGACCGCTCGGAAGTGTCCAGCACTGGGATGGGGACACTGACTGTCAGCAGGCACATGGTCAGGTCTGGGGATCCTCACGGGAGCAATCCTTCCTGATGGCCATTCCTCTTCCCTGGAAGGGAGCCTGTACATCCTGCCACAGGGAACTGGGGCAGAACCTTGGGGTATCCAGCTGCTGAGCAGGCCAGAGCAGACCAGTGCTCGGTGGGGAGCTGGGAATTTCCTCTTCCCAGGGAGGAAACAGCTCTTATTTTGAGTTTTACTGGAGCAAAGGACATTGATTTTTTTTTCCCTTTTCTTTTTTTCCCAGATGAGTCAAAGTTAACCATTCCTTTCCAGGGGAGATGCTGAGTTCAACCCGGGAGAGAAGAGATGGCAACCTTAGGGCTGCTGGGACAACCCCCAAGGAAGCAGCAGAAACCTCCAGTTTTTAAGGTTTCTATGTTAGCCCCACACAGGGAAAACACAGGCATGCTCCACACCTGCCACAGCATTACCAGGGCACTGCTGGTCCCTCATCCAGACACCACCCTGCGCTGCAACCTGTGTTCTCCCACACACATCCTGCTCCCTCTGCCTGAGCCAGAGACAACCGTGACTTACAGCCCCCCAGTGCCAAGGTGACAGGGACGCTGACAGGGCTGTCTCCCAGATGACAGCCTGGGCTCAGCCCCATTACTCCCTCCTGGAGCCCTTGTCTCACCTGGCTGGATCTCAAGGCTCTCCCTTGAGCAAACACCTGTCTGTCGATTCTTTTTCTCTTGCTAAAAATGAACTGCTTTTCAAGTGGTCCTTCTGGAAGGGCTGGCGAAGAGAAGCAGGAATCCAGATGAGTTTCCTTGCCCTGTGGCTGCTGGTCCTGGGTCACACCCACCAGGGCAGGCCACTGGTGATGATTTGAACTGAATTGAGCTGCACTTTGTGAGGAAAACAGGGAGGTGGCAGGGGCACAGTCCATGGAGGGGAAGGAGATTCTGGAAAACCCATCCCAGCCAGGACCTGGACGCTCTGGATAGCCCCCACTAGCCGTAGGAGGGATGTGGAGGGGCTGGAGCTGGAAGTCAGAGTGTTCAAGTGTGGGAGGAGGAGGACCCCTCCCTTGCGTGAGCAGCTGAGGCATCACAGAAGATTTTGGGAGCTCTCCCAACCTTCCTGGGTTTGGCAGAGACGGGGACAGCTGATGTTCCCAGCAAGCCCCAGCCCTGCAGAGAGACGGGTGTTTTGGGCAGGGTGTGCGGTGGGATGGGGCAGAGGGGGATCCTCCCTCCCAGGCGGTCTCTCCATCCTCTCCATTGCTGCAGATGCTCCCCAGCCCAGCTCCAAGGGGACCAAAGGTGCAGGACAGACCTGCACCTCGCGGCTGGGCTGTGGATGCACCGAGGTTTCGGGTGGCCGCAGAGCTCTGCCCGCCTCCTCTTCCACTCGCAGTGCTGGAGCGTGACCGTGGAGCAGGAAGGGAAGCAAGTGCCATTTCCCACAGGCAGCCACGAGGCAGAGGCCCAAGGGCGAGCCGCCGGGATGAGGCATGCGAGAAGCATCCGCCGCGTCCCCTTTCCCATGGAATGCTCCTTCCTCTGATGTGTGCTGGAGTATTGATTTTCCCCTGGAGTGGATGAGTCACAGAGAAAGCCGGGAGGCAGTGGGGGCTGCTGGGCTATCCCCGGTGCCCGTGTCTGGTGGGAAGGCTGTGTGGGAGGGAGCAGGCACTGCCCAGGGGTGCGGGCAGAGGGCAGGAAGGATGCGTGTGGAGCAGGGAGCTGGGGTTGGCTCCCTCCCTGCTGGCTCTGCACAGAGCTCCTCAGCCCTGGGAAAGGAAAGGGGGTCCCTCCTTTGCTCCGTCTCATCCTTCCCCAGGGAGGAGGTTACTGCGCTTAGGGGTGGGCTCCCTGCTCTGCCTCTGCTGAATTCGTGGCTGCGTGTCTGCTGGCTCTGCAGCCAACCCTCCCTCTTGACCTTCTCTCTCGGCTCTTTTATTGCCAATGTCCAGCTTGGGAACAGGCCAGGCCGCCTCTGTCATGTCACGACTCCTCAACATGAGAGCTTGTGGCCCAGGGAGAGGGGCAGCAACTCCAGGACGTGGTCAAAGCTGGGGTCCCCTGCCCACTCAGCTGTCTGTGCAGGGCTCTGGGCTGTGCACTGGGCCACCAGGAGCCTGTCCTGCCGCTGCTGAGGCAGGAGGTGATGGTGTGGTGATGGTGTGGTGGTTCCCTGGCCCCAGCCCACTTCCCTGCTGAGCCTCAGTGCTGCTCCATCCTCCTCACATCCACGGGAGGGATGCAGGTGGGCTCCAGATCCCAGAGCATTCCTGCTGCTGGCCAGGCCTCCAGCCACCCCCATAACACCTCCTGCTCTCTGCAGCCCCTCCCTAATGTGTCCACCAGATCGGGCCAGGCACAGTGCTGCCCTGTTCCTGGCCTCCAACCCCCCACCCTGGCTTAGCTCATCCCCCGCCTACAAGGGCAGGTAACATGCTCTTCACCCGGCCAAGCTCTTGTGCTTGCCAGCTTTCCTCACCAGGGAAATATCTGTATTTCCAATTATTCCCACTCCCTGCCTTGCATCCTTCCCAAATGCCTGCCTTAGTGGCTGTGCATGCTTCACCTCTGGAAAGGAGGGATGGTTTTCAAGTCATCCCTTGCCAGGTCCTTGCAGCTGAAGGAAGGGCACGGTGCTGCCCTTTCCAGCAGACCTCTCTCCCGGACCAGCTCCTCCACTGCAATTCTGGCAGTGGCCTGGGCCATCAGCAGACACAGACTTCTGAGCCAGAGCAACAGATGTGGCAGGGAGATGCAAAACCAGCTGGTCCCAGTGTTCCTGAGCACTCACAGCCCCGGGGGGGAGCTGCAGCTGGGAGGAGGTGGCTTTCACAGGGACAAATGGCACATCAAAGTGGCAGGGCCAGCCACAGGCCTCCTCTTGGGGATTGGCACAGACGGGACAGCCCTGCCCTGTTAGTGGTTTTCTGCTTCAGCCTTTGTTTCTCTGCAGGGACACTCTGCCTTCTTGTCCTTTATTGCCCCCCTGACCCAATTCCTGCACCTCCCACTGCTCCCCAGCCTCCTCACTCTGCACGCTGGCAGCAGCACTGAGCAGGTCACAGGAGCATCTCAAGGCAACCGTGCACAAGCCACACTTTTTTGGCACTGGTGACAGCTCACGGTACTGGCTGGCACTCCCACGGCTCCCATGGCACACGAGTCACAGCTCCTTGGGCCACCCAGCAGCCTGGGGACAGGGCACAGTCAGTCCCCATGCCAAAGCCCTTTCAGGAGGGGGACATGAACTCCGGCCAGGAGTGCCAGCCCTGGAGCCTCTGCCAGGGACGCACTTGGACCACAGCAGACAGAGTTTCCAAACCCTCCCCTCTTCCCAAAGGAGGGAAAAACCAGGCCAGCATCCCACAGGGTTGCCAGGGTGACATTTTTTGGCGGCCGTGCTGTCCCAGCCGCTGAACTGGCAGGGGCTGTGCTGGGAGCTGGGGCAGCCCCTCTGTCCCCACACCAGGGTGTCCCTGCCCAGGGCCACCCAGCAGCACTGGGACCACCAGCCACGGGACGCAAGTGGGAGCCAGGCGCAGGGATGAGGGGACGGCAGGACACTGGAGGAGCCCTGCAGAGATCAAAAATGCCAAAGCTTTGCTGGAAGCCTGCGGGGTAGGAGGGCCTTTTTTTGGCTGGGGCTTGGGAATTCTGGGCTGTGAGCTGCCGAGCCACCACTGGAGCACTGCTGGTTTCCATTTGGTCGGCTTTCGAAAGAGCTGCCTCCCTGGCAGCGTGTGTCCCCCCTCCCCCCCGGCTCGCAGTGGGCAGTGTTTGTTTGCTTGGGAAAAGATGAGCCTCATTATCTGTTGTTCGTGGCTCTCGGACTTTAAAGCGCAGCAGGAGGAAATTTTATGATGGGAAACTGCCCTGGTGTCATCCAGGCTTTGCATGGAGGTCTGCTGGGGGGGACCACAGCCCACAGCAGCGGGGACAGCACCAGGGCTGAGCCACGGGCACAGGGGAGACAGGAGGGTGGTAAAAGTTGATGTGTGCTTGAACCTGTCCCAGTGAATGAGCTCAGCAGGAGCCAGGAGAGCTCGGCCAGGCTGGGGAGGGTCCAGGGGCGCAGCGAGGAGGAAGTCTGGGATGTAGTACAGCTCCACATTCACCTGCACCCGGCGATAACATCGCTGCGCTCCGTGTGTGGGAAGGTCCGGGCGGGCGGTCAGCGTAGCCCTGAGCAGGTTTGCACCTCGTGGCCCTGGCAGCGCTGATAACGCAAGGAAGGGCCGGAATCTCCCCGTGGAGTTAAAGCAGTGCCTGCAGCAGCCTTCCCAGAGCCGCCCCCAGGCTCTCCCACCCCACTGGAGCGTTTATCCAGCCCCTTAACAGAAGAGACCTCTGCTATCAGGCAGGATCATTTTCCATTTTCAAGGAGATTTTTTTTCCAAGCGCCATCCTTGCCCCAGGATTCTCCTCCCCCTTGCTCCACGCTCTCCAGGCCCTGAAGCACATTCACCCCTCCAAAAACCCTGCGCAGAACGGCGGCCCAGTGACTCAGGGCTGCCACGTGTTGCCTTTTGTGCAGCTCAGGTACTCCAAACACCTACCTGGAGGGAAGGAATCCAGCTGCGGGAGAAGAAAGGGGTGGTAAATCACTCAGCGTCCAGCTGGGAAAGCATAAATTTAACAGTCCCGGCCACGTGAAATCATTCTGCAGCCAAACGAGAGGCAGCTTCGGTGTCTATTCATTGTCCCCAGCCTGGGGTCGTGCCGAGGGGGTGCCTTCGGCTCTGTGGTGCAAAGCGCTGTTAAAAGATTTATAGCCAAAATTCGGGTAGCGATAGCGTGTCCCTCTTGTGAGCGCAGAGCCGAGCATCTGGGTGTCATGGTTTGTCCTGCTAGATCCAAACCCTGGCTTAGGCTAAACACGCCTCTGCCATCATTAGTGAATCACTTCTAGATCCCCTGGAAGTTTCCAGGGCTTGGATTTCAGAAGATTTTTGCTGCCGCGGGGCACTAAAATGCCGCGGAAGACAAAGGAAGGTGTGGCAGCAGGTTTTGTGGGGATTATCCTGCTGGGATAATCCTGGGGCTGGGGCTGGAAGGAGATAAAAGCTGAGGTAAAGGGAGGAGATTAAAGTGGGCAGCAGCCCCAGCTTTAACTCCTTTCCCGGCGCAAGAAAGGCAAGGCGAGGTGCATTTCCACCGTGGGTCTGGCATTCCAGCCCCCAGCAAGGGCTGACCCGGTAGAGTGCCCGGGGCTCCCTAAACTCCTCATCCTGCCAGGCTGGGCTCGGTTCATCGCACGAGGAAGGAGGGAGGATCCTGTAGCTCCCAAGCCACTCATACACAGTGAGGGGGAGCGAAGAGCCGGGAACGGAAGACACGGGGTGCCACGCTGGGATCACCCAGCCCTGCTCTGTGCCCCAAGGGCTCACATAAGTGCTTGGCGAGGGAGTGAGCTCAGCTGGCTGATTCACTCCCTCCTTCAAGACCAGACCTGGCCTGCGAGCCGAAACCCACGGGCTTGCTGAAGCAGGAGGTGGCAGGGCAGGTCCTGCGGGCGGCGGGTCCCCTTTTGGGGGTGAGGGTGCTCCCGCGGCGCCCCGGGGAGAGGCGGGATGCTCCTCAGGCAGGGATGCTCCTGGGGAGGGATGCTCCTCGGGGAGCTGAGCTGTGACCCTCCCGCACATCCCACCCCCGGGGAGCGTCCCCGACCCCCTCCCTGCTGCAGGGGACCAGAGGCCGCGCAAACCCCGGGATCGGGGGCTGGAGGCGGGCTGAGCCCCGGCCCCGGCTCACCCGCCCGGGGCGGGCCGCCCCTCCCGCCCCTCCCTCCCTCCCTCCCCGCGCCCCGGGCCGTGCCGAGCCCCGGCGCGCCGAGCAGAGCCGAGTCGAGCCGCGCTGCCGGCACCGAGCGGGCACCATGCGCCCAGGGTGAGCCGCGGCGCCGGGGGGCACCGGGATCCTACAGCCGTCGGGGCTGGGCGAGGGGGTGGCACCAGGACCCTGGAGGCACCGAGGGCGGGGGGACACTGGGACCCTGGAGGCGCCGGGTCTGGGAGACACTGGAACCTCCGGGGCGGGGCACAGGTAGTGCGGGAACCCCGGAGCCGCCGTGGAGCGGGGGGTGGGGGCACCAGGACCCCGGAGCTCCCCGGGGTGGGGGGCACCGGCAGCGCGGGAACCCCCGGGACTGGAGGGGAGCAGGGCCTTGGGGACCCCGGTGTAACCGCGGGGGGACCCCCGGGGTGGTGCTGCGGGTCTGGGGGGCGCCCCGGATTCGGCGGGAGGGTGGGTAACCTCTCTCTCCCCTTCCCTTCCCACAGGTGCCCCCCGCCGCGGCTGCTGCTCGGGCTGTTGGTGCTGCTGGTCCCCGCCGCTTCCCAGGAGCCGGGTAACGTGCGCGGGATGCTGCGGGATGCTGCGGGATGCTGGGGAGGGGGGTGTCCCTGTCGCTGTGCCCGCGGTCCCACGCACCCTGGCTGTCCTGAAGCCCCCATCCCCTGGGATGCGCTCCTCAGCAGGAGTGGGGAGCGGAGTCTCCCCTCGGGCCAAATGCTGCTCTCGGTCCTGGTTCCCAGCGCTGGGGATGAACGCCCCACGCACCGCTTCAACGGCCTCGTGGCTGCTGAACGTGGGGATTCCGTGTGCCCCATCCCGTCGGCGGGGAAGGATGCTGGGGGAAATCCCTGGCTGCAGTTGCCTGTGATGAGAGCGATTTATCTGGTCCGTGCTGGCTGTGAGATAGAGGAGATGGCGTTGCCCCAAAGTGGCCGTGCTCCATGTGTTAGCGGTTTCTCCACAAGTCCTCCCTTGTGAGGCTGTGCTGTCCTTGAAAGTGTTGTGAGTGGTCGGCAGCCGCGAGTGTGTGTGCCCTGGGGATGCAACACCTCTCATGCCGTTCTGGGCTTTTCCCTGCCTTCCGGGCTCCCTGAAACAGTGAAACAACATCCCAACTCGCAAGCTGCTGGTGCTCCGGGAGAGGGGAATTCAGTGCTGACTCAGCTCTCCAGCCCTTCTTTCCCCACGAGGCACACGAGCCGGTTCTCCCACTGCCTGTTTTTTCTGGTGAACTTTACCTCCCTGCCAGGGAAGCTTCCTCCCGGCTGCCAGGCGGAATGAAAGCCCTCCTCCCCTCGCAGCCGGTCTTTGGATGCATGCCCGGTGCCTGGAGATGGGAACGGCCATGGCTGGCATAGGGAGCCCCCCTGCTTGTATCCCAGGAACCCCATTTGCCAAAGCAGCTGAGCTGCAAGCAATCCAAAAACCAGGAGAGAGTGGGTTTTCTCCATGGTAATGGTCTGGTTGTCTTTGGCTTGTGCCACCACGTTAAGAGGCATCCCTCGTGTCCCTCTCTGTCACCACAGGCTGGCACAGCATGTGAGTTAGTGCTTGTCCCCAGGTACAGGCGAGCTGGAAGTCAGCTCTGAAGTCAGCAGATTATTTACTGGACCAAGGCTTTGTGTCTTCTAAGAACAGCTCTGGCACTGCCCTGTGGGCAGCTGGGTCATGTTGTGGAGGGAAAGAGGCCAGCTGGGGCAGCAGGGATGCCCAGTACTGCCAGAGAACGTCTGGGAATACTGGGAGAAGCTCTCCGAGTGCCCCAGGCTGGATTTATGATGCTGCTTTTGGTGGCATGGGCTGCCTCCCCGGGAGCCACGGGAACAAAGCTCCCCTTGGAGATCTGCAGAGATGGGAACAGCGTTCCCATGTGAAATCCTGAATTGGCTATTTTAGGTCCCTGGAGACTGTCCAGTGCGGCTGAGCTGAGCGGGAGGGCCGGGAGCTGGTTTAATACTGGTTACCCGGAGTTATCCTCGCCCTTCCCACCCCCTCTCCATCAGCATCCCTTGCTCCCTTGGGCGCTCAGGGCTGGTCAGGACCCTTTTTGCTGAGCTGAAGATGCATCCCACCATCTTTGAGCAGCCACTCTGGGGGACTTCAGGAGGTTTCACAGGGCGTTTGAGCACGGGGGGAGTGCGGCTGGCGCCGGTCACCGCTGGCAGGGAGGTGCCCGTTTCACCCAGCTGACTTGGCTGTCTTCCAAAGGCAGGCTGTGGATCGGGTTTTAAAGGAATTCAACGGGTTGGTGTGGCTTTTTTCCTTTCTTTTCTTTTCTTTTTTTTTTTTCCCCCCCTTCCCTTGGTTCAATGTCCGAGGACTGCAGGGCCTGTTCTTCCAGCCTGCCTTTGTGATGGCTCCTGGGGAATGTTTGCTCCCAAGGCCTTCCTGGCATGGAGATAAGCTTTCTGTTTATCTGCCTGCCTTTCAAATTTGGGGGCTTAGCTGCCCCAAGCTGGGCTTGCCTCTTATCAGTGGATCTCTGGGATTCCTCGGGAAGGGCACATAGCCATGAGGATGCTGCAGGGATGCTGCCCGTGGGTCCAGCCTCGAGAGCGTGGGGGAAATCACAGAGTCTGTCCACTGTGGGTGTCCCCCCTGCATGGGCTGGGTCAGACACTGGGGAAAACCCCATTCCCAAGCGGGGCAATCCAATGCCAGGAGCTCTGGAGATGGGGGATACCCACCACTGGAGGTTTACAAAGCTGGCCAGGCCTCCCCAGTCTGGTGATGGAGGTGGCCAAGCATTGGGACAGGCTGCCCAGGGAAGTGATAGAATGACCTGGGAACATTCAGAAAATGTGTAGATGTGGCTCTTGTCGATATGGTTTAGTGGTGGAACTGGCTGTGCTGGGTTAATGGTTGGATTCAGTGATCTTGTGGGTCTTCTCCAAGAGCAATGATTCCATGATCTTCTCTTGCACTGACTTCCTGTGCACCGGTTTGGGGCTGGGATGAGGCAGTACATCCAGCTCTGCTGCTGCTGAGGGTACAAGGCAGCACCTGGGAATTCAAAGTGCCTCCTCCCTCTGTTATAGACAGCAGGTGCTGAAGCCACTTGCTGCCAGTGGAGAGGCTCATTCCTGATTTTATTTCCATCCCCAGTGGGTCATGGATCCTGTGTCCTGATGGCTGGGATTCCTCACAAACAAGTGCCTTCAGCAATTTACAGCCCGGGATACAAAGGGCTCTGCCATCGGTGCCTGGGGGGGTTTGACAGGTGGATCAGAGCTTTCCTAATTGGTTATTTTAGGAATCTCTTTCAAAGACTAGGGGAAGGGCTGTGGAGAATGGCTACAGGCAGCACCTGGCATCACAGGTTTGGCTTGGCAAGGGTTGGCACCTCTCAGCTCCAGCAGCGTGGTTTGGTTGCCGAGGCTCCCGGGGTGGGCTGGAGGAACTGGGGAGGATGCCGTGCTCCAGAAGCTCCACAGGCTCTTCCTCTCCTTATCAGCTGGCAGGACTTATGTTTGCAAAACCTTGTCTGTGCCCTGGGAGCTGCTGGAGAGTGGGGAGCTGCCCCGGGCTGCCGGCAGCTGGAAGGAGCCAGGGCTGTGGACGTGGTCCTGTGGCACCTCTGGGTTCCTAGTCCATCATCTCCTGGCAGGTGGATCCCATCCCTCCTGCCTGTCCCTGTGGCAGCAGGGATGAAGTGGGCCTGCTTGGATGGCACTTTTGGGCTGGAAACTGGGTTTAAAAAGAGATAAATATTCTTGCAAAGTGGCTGCACACCCAGGCAGGAGTTTGCTTGCCTTGGTGCATGCAACCTTTTCAAGCCCTAATCCTAATTTTCCCAGTATTTTTCCAGCTCTGTACCTGGACTTGGTCCATCCACAACCTCCATTCTCCCACAGCTCTGACTCGATTTTAGGTTTCCGTGTCGTGTCTTCTGGCCCTGCGTGGCTGTGAGTGCCTGGGAGCTCCCTCCTCACAGGTGCACGTCCCTAAAGGGACGGAGAGCTGAGCTGCTTTTCCCTGTGTCCAGTGGAAAATCCTGCCCATACACTCCCAGATTCTGGAGCAGTGGGGTTTTTTTGGCTCTGAATGGCAAGCAGCCTTGTGGTGACACTGCTCCCTATTTATTTTGGCCCGCAGCTGGACTAACCTCTTCTTCAAGTGTTTATGGCGACACAATTTGGGTGCTGTTGGACAGCAAATCCGAGCCCTTGGAGAAAACATTTTGCAATCCTGCTTCAGACGTCATTGCATGGCTTAAAAAATCCCTGACCAGATAAATGTGCTGCTGGGAAACAGGCTCTGCTCTAGTGTGTGTGGGGGGGGATGTCACTGCTTCTTTTTAAGGAGGCAGGAGCATGTGGAGTGGGGGGTAAGGACTGAGCCAAGGCTGCATCCTCTTACTAAAAAAAAAAGGGAGAGGGACTTTTTACGTGGGCCTGGAATGAGAGGACAAGGGAGAATGGCTTCACACTGAAGGGGGGAGGGTTAGATGGGATATTAGGAAGGAATTCTTCCCTGTGAGTGTGGTGAGGCCCTGGCATAGGTTTCCCAGAGAAGCTGTAGCTGCCCCATCCCTGAAAGTGTGCAAGGCCGGGTTGAATAGGGGTTGGAGCAACCTGGAATAGTGGAAGGTGTCCCTGCCCTTGGCAGGGGAGTGGAATGTGATGAGGTTTAAGGTCCCTTCCAGCCCGAACCGTTCTGTGCCAGAGGCACCAGCTCCTCTCCTGCGCTGCTCTGGGCCGTGGTGACTGTTAGGGATGATGCTCTAAGCCCTGGAATAACAATCCCAGCAAGTGTGCTGTGTCTCTTCCAAAGTGTGATAGTTTACCAGGAAAAGAATTAATTCTGGCATTTCAGTGGAGAGTTCAAAGCACTGAAGGAGACATGTGGGATTAAGTATCGATGTATATCAGCAGCCCAGAGGTATGGGATTAATAAAACATTTTAATGGTCTTCTTGTGTGTCTGATGACATTTGGGAAAGCATTGGAGATGAATCCTTTCCAAGAGTATCCTGCACATTTCTCTGACTGCCTGTGCAGCCTAGAGGCAGCATCTTGGATATAAGGAAGGAATCCTTCCCTGTGAGGGTGGGCAGGCCCTGGCACAGGTTGTCCACAGAAGCTGTGGCTGCCCCATCCCTGGAAGTGTCCAGGGCCAGGTTGGACGTGGCTTGGAGCAACCTGGGCTGGTGGAAGGTGTCCCTGCCCATGGCAGGGGGTGGAAAGAGATGGGTTTTAAGGTCCCTTTTCAGCCCAAACCAGTCTGTGATCTTCTGCATCAGATGGGCTCCGCCTCTCCCCATCCATCGGTCACTCTCCTGGCTGTGTGATGCCCTCACTGACTTTCCTGTCCTCCAGCGTCATTCCTCATCCCTTGGCTACTGGTGTGTGTGGAGCAGCACTGCTGCTGCCCTTGGGAGGGTCTTCCCTGCCCTGCTGAGAGCTGGGGCTCAGGGGAGACGCTCATGGGTGGAAGGTGGGGGGGCAGAAGAAACTTGCAGTTATTTCAGCCGGTACTAAATCCGCTTAAATGCTGGGGAGTGGGAGCAAGTCCCTGACTTGTGGATGGAGGAGGGAATGTGGTAGCAGCACATGTGTGGCTTTTTGGCTTTTAGTATCGAGTTTGATTAGTGCGGAGAGCTTGTTGCCAAATACACAGTTGAAACACAAGGAGCCCAGCGGGGTTGGAAAACAGTTTGGAAATGCGTACAAATACTGAGGGCTCCGGCATTGCCTTAATATGGATTTGCAGCCCTTGAAGTGTGAGTGTGGTTAATAATCCTGGTGTGAAGGGGTGGTTCCCGTCCGCTCAAAGGTGGGAACATCCTAAAAGAGCGCTGGGAGAGAAGCAGGACAGCGACACCCCCCAGGGCTGTTGGATGGGGCTGCTCCAAGGACGAGGCTCCAGAGACTCGCTGTGCTCCTGGCTTTGGCCGGCAGTGCTGTTTGGCAGGAGCGTTTCCCTGCGCTGGGGGCTCTCTCAGCGAGCAACATCTGGTCTGGAACATCCCGTGTCTGC